ATAATCTAAACATAGACACTTAATCTGAGAGAAAACTCCTGTGTTCTGTGAGGCCAAATTATTGTTTTTAAGAAAGCATATATGGATATAATCGCTTCAGTTCCCTGTCAGAAAGGGTGGTCTGACGGTAAGGTAAAGTGGTTGACAATGTTGTTTAAATAACTAACAAACATGATCAGTGATAATGCACGAGTGTGAGGAAGGTTTCAAGAAAGGGACTGCACTGACTTTTAAAAGACACTGGCATCAAATAAGGTGGAGGGTGGAGCCCTCGTGTGGAGACTTACATTACTGCAGGCTAGATGCAGGGCGGTGTTTCCATCTTTGTCTGTCAGACTGAGGTTGCTCCCAGCGCTGGTCAACAGCACCTCTGCAGACACACACAACAGATACACTCAAAATCAGCAACACAGAACAGGAGACAAAACACCATGAGTAAAAAAAAAACAAACAAAAAAAAAACTCCGTACCCAGGGCTCCGACTCTGCCCTTCTCTGCCGCCATCATCAGTGCACTGCGACCTGATTGGTCCACAGCATCAACAGGTGCATCATGGGACAGGAGCAGCTGGATGCAGTCAACATGACCCGAGAATGCTGCAGCGTGAAGAGGAGTCCTGCAGGAGAGAGGAAGATGCTTCACTGAAGTTAAAGTACTGACTCCACAACAATAATACTCCACTGCATGTAACAGTCCTGCTTTTAAAACATTACTGAAGTTAAAGTATGTATCAGCAAAATGTACTTTAAGTATGGAAAGTAAAAGTATTTATTGTGCAGTAAATGTTTCCTGTCAGTGTTTTTCTGTTCTGATATTTTTGGATTAATATTCCTGCTGCATGAATGTGTCATTTTCCTGCTGTCGATGTTTCAGGTTGTGCTTGTTTTAACTCCTTCATATCCTGTTGGGTCATTTAATCTACAGCAATGCATCATGGTCTATAAGATCATCATATGATCACAGGTTTTGAAAGAGTTTATTTAGATGTAGAAGGAGGAGAATTAACTCAACACATCCTTCAGTTTATCAAAAACACAAGAGATGAAGTGGGGTGGAAGTATGAAGTCACATTAAATCAAATACTTAAATACAGTACTTGAGTAAATGTACTTAGTTACACACACACATCTTACCTGTCCTTGGCGTCTTTGCAGCCAGCGATGTCCGAGCCCATGGCCTCCAGCAGCAGAGATGCACAGGTCTCGTGATCGTTCACTCTGTTGGTGCAAAGTTTTTGAAGTGTTCAGTGTGTTTTAACTGTGAATCCTGATGCTGCTGCTCCGTGTCAGTCCAGAGGATGTTAAGCACTAAAATATCAACATTTCTTTTGAATACTTTATGAAAATACAGTTTAATAAGAAGCTCTACAGCATTTTATTTTCTTTTTTCTTTTCACTTTCTGAGCTGCGCTCACTATCATTCACAGGTTCATGAAGGAAACAGTAAATATAAACATTTTGATCAATAAACTGATCGACAGAAAGTTGAAATGGCTTTTATTATTTTTATAATGGAATTATTTTTCTTTGTTTCTGTAATTAGTTGAATTCTTAAAGTCTAACTTTTATTCTTATTTTATTATTGTTTCTCGTGAGGGGAGACTGGCAACTATGAATTTTACTGTATGATGTAAACCGCTGTGTTTTTACTGTGCATGACAACAAACTTTTTGAATCTTGACTCGATATCACTGTAATGAGGGCCGTCCCTCAGTGATCTCTTTAATATAATAAAGGTTAAATGAATTCTGAAGTGAATGAACTTAAAAATCATTAATTCAACAAAATTAAACATCTTTGGGGGTTTTTTTAATCTCACAAATCAAACTGACAAAAAGCCACAACGGATATTGTTCACCATATTCCGACACTTCACAGATTAAATGATCAATAAGTTCAGTAGAAAACTAATTAATAGATCAATGAGAGCAAAAGTAATCATAACTAAGAGCCCTGGTATAAATACAACAACAAATGTGTTTAAATCAACCCAATCTTTTCAAAAAGGTCAATAAAAAATCGATCAATAAATAATATCTAATAACTTACACAGCACAGTGCAGAGGGGTGAACGGGTTCCCATCAATACAGCGACAACCTTTCTGCTCCAGCAGAACCTCCACACACCCCTCATGACCTGCACACACACACACACACACAAATGATGTTAAACTATAAATCAGACCAGCAAAGACGTGACTCAATATTTCTCTTATTTTTTGTCGTTTTCTCTTAAAATTGTCTCTGAGACTGTAAACAGTATCATGATGTGCACCCTGAGGAATTATTTTTAATTATAAAAACACTTTTTTAAAGCCTCATAATTAATAAGTAATTATTTCTTGTACGAGCGTCACCTCTGAAACAACAACAGAGTTAAAACCAGTTTCCTGCAGGTGTATCTGTATGAACACTGACCGTAGTAGCAGGCCCAGTGCAGCGGCGTGTACCCGCTGTTGTCTCTCAGCGGGGGGAGGGACGGCGGCTCGGAGCAGGCGATGCTCAGCAGCTCGCTCAGCCACGAGGCGTGACCTCGGGCGGCGGCCAGGTGGATGGCGGTGCGACCTCGAGAGTCGCCAATTAAAACCGAGGCTTCCTGCTCCAGCAGACACTGGATACACTCCTCCTGACCACACAGCAGCTGCAGAAACAAGATGGACGTCTTTAAATGAAAGTCAAACACACTGCTGGTTCACATTATTATCCGCCATCTTTATATAGTGTGACACAAGTGTGATATAAAAGACAGACACAACATTCAGTCACCTTGATGGACTCTTTGGAAAACCTTTTTCTTTTAGTTTATTTAATGATAAGAATATTATTAACAGAATTGCAATAAACCTTATTTATGCAACGCTTTTCAAATCAAGTCCTTTACATGGTTGAACCAGGATTAAAACATTTCTTGACTGCAATGAGGCAAAAATCAGACAATCAAAATAATACAAACAATAAAACGGAGTGACGACAACAACCAGAAAATTGCACTCAGAGAAGTGGCAGCCTGGCAAAGATCTGTAGCTGATCACGGCCACTCCAGACAATGCAAACTGTGGAACTGTCCCTGCAGGCTCCCTTAGAGTTTCAGCGAAGACTGCAAAGAACAGGGACTAATTCATCTTATAATGTGCCTAACTTCTGTGGATCATAACATATCAGGTATGGAATTAATCTGCAGAGACTCTGGCTCAAAATGAGAGCAACATTTTTTTATGAATGTCTAATTTTTAGCTACAATGACGGCAAAAATGTGACCTGCAACAGACGGGAAGAGTTACTGATTTTAACTGAGCTGATTTCCAGAAACACCTTTTGCTCTATGCTTTTGCTGCGTGATTTTCTTGAGCCTTTTAGGCCCCTGCTGGCCAATCAAGAGCAGTGAGCAGTCAGCATTAAATGACGGAATAAAACAGCCAATAAAACAGGTTTATCAACAACTGCGAGTTACCTCAACCACGAAAGATCACTGAGCATACACTCGTAATTGTGCGCACAAAATATAAAGCTGATCGGTCCAGTAGTTTGTGAGATTAGCTGTGGACACTCACAGACACATGACTGAACACATCATACCATTCAGGCTTATTATGCCTGATGGAGACAATAAAACAGATGAGTTGGAAATAAAAAACATTTACGAAAAATCTTTTTTAAAGATAAGTTTTGAGAAGTGATTTAAAAGATCTCACTAATTCTTCACCTTCAGATCATATGAGATTTGAGAATCTGTCATCCAAAATAGGAAATTAAAAATGACTCGCTGGAAGAGCTGGAAATCTATTTAAACGCTTCAGGAACACTTGTAAAATATGCCTGGACTTTTTCATTAGTTTATACAACAGTGTTTTAAGTGTTGTCATGAGAAGCAGACAACAGAAACACAGAGTACAGTAAAGTGAAAGAAAGTACAAAGAAACATAGCATAAAACCAAAATCATGTCAACCTGGTCAGCAGATATTTACAGTCACCAATGCAAAGAACTAAATAAATTTTAACACAGTGATAAAAGAAAAGATATAACAGATAAGTGCCATGATTGTTCTGGTGGAACATTCAAGCCTCCCTGAAGTCATGACAGAGAAAGGGAGAATGTGAACACTCACCCCGAGGTGCAGGGCAGTGAGGCCGTGGTTATTCGCAGCGTTCACGTTTGCTTCCCGCTCCAGCAGCAGTGACACGGCGTCCACATGACCTCCTGCGACCGCCAGCATCAGAGGAGTCCTGCAGACGAGGACGAGGAGGTGTTAAACACAAACTGGAACAGATCAAGAGAAAACTGAAGGGGAGGAAAACACAAAGTACTCACTGTCCCTGAGAGTCAGCAGCATCTACCAGGTCTGCACTGTCTGATTCATCCAGCAGGAGGCGCACACATGTCGTGTGACCGTTCATCACTGGAGGAGGACGGAGAGGGTGAGGCAGCAAGAGAAGAAGAAACAGAAAGTGACAGAGATGTTTATTAATAGTCGGTTTGATCAGATGGGGAGGATTCCTGCGTCACCAGTGCAGAGAGTGCAAAAATAAGAAGCACAGGCCTAAAAGCAGCGAGGTGAGCAGCGTGCTGGATACAAACAAATATTTACAACAAATAACCTGTTTTCAAACACAGATATGAGCTGAAGTCACTCATGTGAACAGACGAGCTGTGACTGACTGTACGTCCGAAGCTTCAGACGTCACTGCTGATTCAGGGAGACGTTCAGTTTGTCATTTAGCAGCTGAACGATATGTTCAGGTGATTAGAAACACACAGTCATGGAAGCATTTACACCTGGAGCCACGTAATAAGGTTGTAAAGTAATATTTAAACCTCCAATCACTATGTTGTGACTCGTACGAAATATCACATAAATATCCCATGAATATCCCATGAGCCCACAGTGGAGGTACATTAGTATTGAATGATGGCTTTTCCAGACAATACATTGACTGAATTCACTGTGTGTTGTTCCATTAACTGATCCAAACCATCAACAACAGCTGAGACCAAGTGTCCACATATTTTTGGCCACATTGAGCTGAAACGTGTTGAAACCAGATGTTAACGTGACACAGAAACAGGAACAGTGAATCATGAGCTTGAAACTGAACCCACCTGCCAGGTGGACTGGGCTGCGTCCGTACTGGGTGTCAGTGGTGCGCGGCGACGCGCCCTGGCTGAGGAGGGTGTGAACACACTCGGCGTGGCCCCGGAGGGCAGCCAGGGCCAGGGGGGTCCTCCCCACCTCGTCCCCCTGGTCCACCTCCCTCTCCCCCTGCAGCAGCACCTCCAGAGCCTGAGCGTGGCCGTGGTACGCCTGCAGAGAGACGGAGACGCTTCATGAAATTTTCGCCATCAGAGTCTTTTTTCAGCCACTTTAAGACTCATTTATTCAGGAAAAGTTCTTGTTCAACTTCTGTGTTCAAATATTTAAGATTGTTCCCTTGTTTTGTTAAATGAAAAACTACTGTTTAATTTGATCTTTTTAAATTTAATTTAAGGAGAATTCACAGTTAAGGTTTGAAGAATTTATGTAAACACTTAATTATTTCTTTCTTTTTTTAAAGATTATTTTTTTGGTCTTTTAGCCTTTAATGGACAGGACAGATTGAAATGGGGTGAGAGAGAGAGAGAGAGAGAGAGAGAGAGAGAGTGGGGGTTGACATGCAGCAAAGGGTTGCAAGTCGGAGTCGAACCTGCGACCGCTGCAGCGAGGCATCGCCTCTGTACATGGGGCGCCGGCACTATCCACTACGCTACCGACGCCCCAACACTTAATTATTTCTTTCCTTTTTTTTATTCTATCAGTTTATTTTTGTTTTCTGTTTCAGTAACTAAACTGCAGAGAAGATTGTTTGTCTTTGAAAAATTAAGTGTTTTTTCATAGTGAGTTCACAGCTAATTTGTATACTTAATCAACATTTCCCATAAAGCTCATGTGTTTTGAAACATTTAAGAACTTTTCCGTCTTTCCTAGTAGCAGTTGTAGTGATTTTTATTCCGAACATGCAAATGATATATGAACAACAATATATATATGAACATATATATGAACAAGTAAAACAGAAATAATAATACAAAAATGGACAATCAAGACAATTTTAGAAAAGAAAACAGCACAATAATTTCACTTAGATATCCGAAAAGGGTATGTAAGTGACTTTTACATTATTCTTTTCTTATTTATATATGCATATATACATACACACACACACACACACACATGCATATGTATACACATACATACTGTATGTACATATATACATATACACACAAACATACAAGTACACATACATACATACACACACACACTCTTTTTCCATTATATTTCTTAACTGTGCTGACAAATATAAATAAATAATAATTAACAAAAGAAAAAAATATATATATAAAAAAACTAAAAAAACAACAACATAAACATGGTTTGGTAAAAAAAAAAAAAAAAAGTTCATATTTTATGACACGATATTTTCAGCTGTTCTGTCAATAAATACATATGTAAAGACAGTGACATCACATGCTATCGTGTGTGTTTGTGTGTGTGTGTGTGTGTGTGTGTGTGTTTGTGTGAGACTCACAGCGAGGTGCAGTGGACTCCTGGCGTTCGGAGATTCAGGGTCGTCTTGGTGAGTGTCGTCTCTGTCCAGCAGCTGCAGGTCACAACAACAACTCATCAACACTGAGCCTACAGGAAGTCCTCTCATATATAACATGTACTTTACACCAGTGGTTCCCAACTGGTGGGTTGCAGTCCATTCTGAATGGACCACATGTGACTCGCAAACAAAACACACTTTATTTTGAAGTACAGTGAATTTCCAGCATAGAGCTTTTATTTTGAAGTGCTGTTTCCTGTTGTAGAGCAGGTTACTGACAGACAGCTGCTTGACACACACAGTAAACCAGCTCGATGACATGTCCAAACACAAGTATGATGTTGAGTGTAATGAACTGTGTGGACCTCAAACTAATGACTGAGGAAAAAATCTGAACCTGTGGTCGGACCAGTAAGGAACCTCTGCTCTACACTTCCATATCAAAGGGAAGTGACTCTTGTGATTTTATTGATTGATATACTCGAAACATTTTAAAACGTTTTTGACACAACCTGTGTTTAAAACAAGAGACAGCAGAAACTTGGAATGTTGCTGCGCGGAGAGCGGAGAAAATATGATCAGCCAACAGATGGAGAAAACGCCTCGAGTCACAAAACAACTATTTCCTCCCTCTCTCTGTGTGTGTGTGTGTGTGTGTGTGTGTGTGTGTGTACTGACCAGCTCCAGACAGTGCCTGTGTCCATACGCCGCGGCGTAGTGGACAGGACTGTAGCCCTGCTTGTCTTTGAGAGAGGCCGTCGCTCCGCTCTGCAGCAGGAACTCTAAACATCTGGAACACAAACATCTCAGTTATCATTCAACACACTACACGGCTCACGCGTAACACCGAACCAGACCATGATCTGGTTCATATTTTTGCTTTGCATAAATGCATTGCATCATGGGACGACAGATTGACATACAATGAAAGTGTGCTGGGCAACTGCTGCCTCAGATGGGTCGTTTTTTGGCCCGCCAAAATAAAAGCACACTAAGTGTTAATTAAGTGTGAGTTTTTTATTTGATTAAATCACCTTTCGTGTGTTTTGTCCTCATAAGCTTATAAACATGAACATGCAGAGTGAACCTGGACACAGCTTTGGTCAAAATGATGTGTATCTCTTAGCGTGGACTTACAGCGCCGCCTCTTTCTCCCTCTCTGCCTGGACTCCTTCGCTCTCTGGCTCCAGAGCCACACGGCGCCTGTAGAGGAGGAGACAAGAGGAGGGAGGGAGGAAAGGAGGGAAGGAGGGAGGAGGGAGGGAAGAAGGGAAGGAGGGAGGAGGGGTGAGATAAAGGAGGATAAAGCATCAACACACTCAAACAAGAGCCTCTTTTAATACGCTGCTATCTCCTGATGCTAACAAGTGGATAACTTGTTACTGTGCTGCCGAGCGCCAAAGTGTGGTGCTGCCAATCCTGGAGGCCAAGCATGACTATCACTACCTCAGTCTCACCTCCAGGTTACCATGGAAACAGAGAAGGTGTGGACCGGCAGGTTTCTATATGCAGTAACAGTAGACAGCTACCCAGATTCTCAGAGCAACACCAGAGAAGCGGTGTGAAGAGCTTTTCAGATTCACCTCCTCCTCTCCTCGTTGGGTTTAAAAATAATTCTCCTCCTAACTTTGAAACAACAGACGATGAAGAGCAGATGTGTCTCTGTGCTCCTCCTCACCTCCTGTCCAGGTCCGAGGCAGCTGCATAGTGCAGGGCGGAGCGCCCCCACTGGTCCGTGGCGTTGATGGCTGTGCCACAAGCAACCAGAGTCTCCAGACACTGATAGTGACGGCTGGCGGCCGCGTAGTGGAGGGGGGTTCTGGGAAATAACGGAAGACACAAATATTCAGACACACCAAGTTTCCCTCAATTACAAAACCTCAGGACACACACTACATGGCCAAATGTATATGGACACCAAACTTTTTTTTACCTGGCTACATCGATTTCATTTATAAAACTTTAATTCCCTGCAGCTGTGAGTAATGTCACTTAACAAACAATGTTAACAAACAATAATTTTCACTATCGATTAATCTGCTGATTATTTTCTCGATTAATCATCATCGATATCTGACATGTCGATATATAACTACTCATTTGGCTGATAACTGATCCTGATCTTTTTCCCCACCTCATTTTAGTGATCAAGTCTCTTCTGTGGACTGATATTATCGCGTATCCCTGATCATTTTGTCTATAAAATCTCTCGTCATAATTTCCCACAGCCAAGATAATATCTTTAAATGTCTTGTTTTATTCAACATTTCAAAACCCAAACAAGTTCAGTTCATATCAATCATGACAAAAAAAGCATCAAGTCTTCACATTTAAAAAGCTGAAACAAGACAATGTCAAATTTTTTCATTCTGCCACAAGAGCATCAGTGATGTCGACCGATCTCTGCAGCATATCAGATATCGGCAAAAAAATCCAATCACATGCATCACGAATTTGCTTTCCTGTGAACTTGTGCACACTCCCTGATGGATATTTTTGCACCTCCTGCACACGACTGTACAGCTTTCTCCTTCTGAAACAGTTACATTGTAAATGTTATGCTGTTTATTATTTGTTCTATTATCTTTTCAAAGAAACTTTCTCCCATTTCTATTTTGATGTTTCAATTCTATGTTTATGTTTTTAAGTGTTGCAGTACTTTGTCTTTATTCTATTTGCTCTAAATATGTTTATCGTATGTTTAATGTGTGAACCAAAGACTAAAGATAATAAAACTTATTCTGACTCTGATAAAGTCTTGACAGAGGTGTTTAATTGGGCTCAAATTCTTTGACTACAAACTCAGGAAACTATCTCTATGCACACTTGTCATGTTGAAATACGAAAGGAGCTTTTCCAAATTGTTGCTAGAAAGTTAAAAATGTTAACAACATCATAACAGTACGCACTGCAGCATTGTTCAATCTGGACAGTGATGTGTTCTCTTACCTGCCACATTTATCCCTCCTGTTGTGGTCTCCACCGCTGCTCAGGAGCAGCTTGACACACTCCACATTACTGCACACAGAGAGCAGGCAGAGAAAGACCATTCAGACTGTGTACACTGACAGATTTAGTTACTGCTTTAAAGGTTAAAACAAAAACACTTGATGCTTAATAACCCACGTGAAGTGATAAATATAACTTATACTCTTCAACACAAAAGATGATGAAAGGATGATTCATGTTTTGAACACCAGGGTCACATTGTCACGCTGTGGGTTTTTATCAGTCAGATGAGGAAAGTAACACCAAGAGTCTGACTATCAGACAGGCTTCAAACTAACACTCAGGTTTAGATAAGATGAGATAAGATAAGATAATCCTATACTGATTCCCAGAGGGAAAATCTGGATTTCACCATCTGACTAAACCGTTTACAGCCCGTCTGATCATCTGTTTGAAATCATGTCCAGAGCTATGAAAGTAAGAGCTGCTGTAAAGAACCAGAATGATCCTTTAAGGCCTTTTAAACCTTCTGACCCAGATATAATGTGTGTCTTTAAGACAGCGTGACTCACCCTCCGGCGGCAGCAGCGTGCAGGCAGGTCCTCCCCAGGCTGTCAGGAGTGTCGATCTGGAAGCCTGCAGACAGGACCGAGTCGTTACACATTATGCTAAACCTCCGGCCTGAAGGGGGCAGCGCAGGGAGAGACGGAGGGAGGCCAGACAACACACAGCAGCAGCCACCACAGAGAGAAAGAGACACAGGAAGAGGAGGAGTTGGAGAGAAAGACAGGTGTAAGTGCGACAGGTGGGGGAAGAAGGTTAGGTGAGAGTGCATGATGCTGGACGTGCAAACAGGGAAACACAAACATCTATAAGCTACGTGTTTCACAGCCAGAGAGCTGAAGACGGTACGTGTTATATCAGAGGAAGGAAGGAATCTTACAGAGGAAGAACAACAAGCAGTTCATGTGGGTTTGATCAGTTCAATGATTAAGACTAAAAAGTAACAGCCCTTCTTCAGCAGACAGACTTTTAGAACATTTTTGGGAATTCAGGTAGCCTGGAAATCCAGACCCAAATCTAGAAAGATTTAGGGTCTGGCTATGAGTAATGAAAATGGCTCAACTCGAGGGGCAGCACCAAGCATGCATTTGTAAATATCACTGCACGCAATTGGATAACACTACGACCATTCAGAACAATAGATTAGACTCTTCCGGTCGGCAGAACAGCAAAAACGTCCTTCTTGCAAAGGAAAGACTCGAGCGCCATCTTCTGTTCCTCTTTTAGAGAAAAAGCCAAGTCTAACTCGTTCATTGTAGCGGCCAAAGCCGTTTCAAACAACTGGTGTTCGTCCGTAGCCATCTTGCAATGTTTACTGACTGATTCTGGACTTCGTTGTCGCAGCTCTGTCGTCATTTGTTTATCTCGCCTCTGGCCCTCCTATATCAGATACACCGATGTGATTGGTGCAGCTCAGCTCCAACAGCATGGGTAATGAGCATCATTACTGATTGCCAGAGTGACTCGCTGAGCAAATTCAAATTGTGCTCTCGCGAGAACTCTGGACTTCCAGGGTAGAATTCAGGAACTGTAACTGTAAAAACTGCCCTAACTTTAAATGAGCATAACATTCATCACATCACAATAATAATGACCTCAAACTTTTTTCAACATGCAGAACCTCCTCCCTGACCACCTGCTGTATAAAAGACGTGGACGTAGCCACCCTGACGTCACCTACTTGTTTGTGAACTCTAATTTTGACGCCACAAATTTGGCATTTTGGTTGCTGCCATCTTGGTTTTTTTGCCATAAGTGACCATATTTGGACGAGACGATGGAGCTTCCTTCCTACGATTTCTCGGCAGAATCATGGATGTTTATTCTTGATGGATATTGTGGAATGTGTAACGCCGGGTTCACACGACTACACAATGTTGTTGTCTGCTAAAGATGTGTGTATCATGTCTGTACATTCAGATTTGATGAGATAAGCAGAACATTTATATATATTTTTTGATCCCAGTCCCAGTCTTGGTCAGGTCTAGTCTCTATAAACAAATGTCTGCATATGAATGCAGAGTTTGTGGGCAATGGCACAAGATTTTGGTATTGGAAGTGTCCTGGTTTCCGTTTGTAGTTCAAGTAGTAATGACCAATCACACGTCACAATCACATCATCCATTGGTTTGTGGACTCCCATTTTGAGGCATTTTGGTCATCGCCATCTTGTTTTTTTGGAGCCATAAGTGGCCATATTTGGACAGAGCGATGGAGCTGTGGAGGACAAGCATTGCTACGCCTTAATCCTGACTGACAGGTCTCTGTGGTAGCAGCTTGTCAGTGGGGTTTGGTTGCATGCAGGTGATTGGTCCATGTGGAGAGCAAAAGAGGCGCAACTCATAGGCCGAAATGCCATCTTGGAACCCATCTGCAATTTAGCTTTTATTAGCGTTTTTCAAATTTATCTGTATTCATATGCAGATATCTGTTTATAGAGATTAGCCAAAGTGTTGTCTGGACCTGTCTCAAGTTGCTAATTGAACTGTGAACAATTACGGCACATGGAAGAGGGAGTCTTAGCCCATGTATCCGCTAGCTACACTGAAACCTCTGAAATGTTTATGATAAAATGACCCTCAGAGACTGATCAGCATCGGACTGATGGCTTACGACATTGGGTCAGATCAAAAGATCAAGATGGGATAGAAAGATGGTTTATTTCAAGTAAATCTGTGGTTAGAAATCAGTGTGAGTGCACTGATAACATCTTCCAAGAGCCTCTTACCTACATGTGATGGACATGTAATCGTGCTGCAAGTATTTTTCAGTGTTTAATCATATATATTATTTTGAGGTAGTGTTATCCAGGCTTTGCAACATAACTTTCAACTAAAAGCTTCTGGTTTCAGTTTTGTTCCCGCCATGACAAAACTTTCTGATGGTCCAGGAACTAACAGTGTCCTGAAAACAACTGAGTGGTCAAACACAAGCCTTCAGGGCTGCTTCAACACATTTACAGCATCCATCCGCATTGCACATAAGCAGCAGTGGTCACCAGGATTAGGACCAGAGATGGGAAGCTGACCACACAGTGCACCTACTTTATTCCATAATTGTTTCAGTGTGGTGGAGTGCTGAGTCATGAGAGTGACCAGAAAACAGTCAGCAGATCCTCCATACTTTGCACGTACACAAAACATCCATTCAAACCATCAACTTTCAGACTGCACCCCTGACACCACACGCTACGCTCATGTCTCAGTTCTTTAAAACAAAAATAGCATCTAGTTTTTGTTCCTAGAGAATTCAATGGAGGAGGATCGACCAAACAAACATGTCGTGACATCACAGTCGCACGAGTAAATTATAATGAATAACACCGTGTTGTCGTCTCGTGCTGTCGCTTTTCAATCCTCTATTATCACAGCTTGTTGAATCTTCACGGGTCTTTAAATGTCAAAGGGGCTTTTAGCTCCCGAGTGCAACAGATACAAAAGCTCAGCACCACTGCTGCTCACAACCGTCCTGACCAGACGCAACACTGCAGCTGCTCACGGCTCAAGCACATGTAAATGACTCCTTTGTTGTTCAATACGGCGACTCAGCAGAGCCACATGAGGAGGTTCATCCTGCTCCAGGCCTCCACACACACAAGTGCCAGGGCCTGCCTCAAAATCCTCAGAAGGGCTTGTTGTCTGTCTCCTGTTCCTGCTCCACATTTGTTAAAGTTAATCTGCTCTGTAGTGGAAAACCAACAAAATACACGGGATGAGTGGAAAGACAAATTATTTCATAGCCAAAAGCAACAAGTAAACTTTTCAGATGTAAACAAGGTATCGACTACCAGTGCCGATGCTCTCAGAGGAGGATTCGGCAGAATACGCTGGTTTCCAGAGGAGAGTGGTCCCATCAGTGTGTGATTAGACTCACTGAGGCCTTGTCTTGTTGCTGGAACATTGTGACTTGCATTTGGCCGGCGCTGAATACGTGCACTTGTGGAGGAATTCACCACCAGGAGCAAGAAAAACAACCAGGCCCATCCTCCCAGAAACCTACACTCAAGGACAGTGGTAAGGCAGAATGGACTCTGAATCTGATCAAACACACACACATGGTGGAAACGGTCATTCCAGTGCTCTCAGAAATATCAGAGAAGTTTGATTTTTGAATACAAAACTGTTTTATTAAACATTACTCACTAACATGATGCTAGCAGATTTTATCAGCTGCAACTCACTCCTCACAGAGACGGTTCATAAACCGTGACGGCCCACTTTAGACTCATTTCCTGTATCTGTGTTATGTTGGTTTCGCTACTGCCCCGCCCCTTTGGGAGATGAGTGGCGGCCCTGAGTCTATTCATTCCAATAGGAAAAGTGAACGTGAGTACAGATTATGATCGTGTCCTTTGCCCTAGAGTTATTTACTGTGTCAGTCTGACTAAAACCAGACCAGAAAATCCCTGTAAACATGTCAGTGTGACTGAAATGGTCCTAAAGTGAATTTCTCACACACCCAGATCACACAATTGGGAGTTGAATTCCTCCTGCATGTATACAGTCAATCAGAGCCAAACTGGCCGAGGCGCTCTGAGCATGCTCCACAGTTTCCGCCCCGGGCTTTGACCCGGAAGTCCAATAGCATTAAATGTGTAAGAGAAGAAGAAGCCGGTAACAACATGGAGAAATCTACATCCAGAGCCGTGACTTTTTGGACGGACCAAATGTACAGAGCTGTAAAGTTGTCCACCATGGTAGCAGTTAGCTGCTAGCTAACCGTAGCTAACTTGTTTGTCCATTGTTTGGTCTGTGACGTAATAGGTCAACAGGAAAAAGGTCCAATACTAACAAGCTGAAAGGGGTCATATCTCCACCTATCGTAGAGGAGCTGGACAACCCGAAAACATAATGCACACAGCTGTCACCTGCACGGAGGGGTAAAAAAAGTACCACCCACCAGAGAGGCATATTTGATATTTAGCCTAGCCTAATTATAGGGACACGTGCCAACAGCACCACAAACTGTAGCCTCCAAAATAATTACAGAGCTAGATCATAATCCCTCTAAAACAATTTCAACAAAAACTGAACATGATCACCTTTCTAATGAGAGGACTGATTGCAGGACTGTATCAGACTGCATTGGTTTTAGCTAACTGATTATATTCTGCTAAAACGCCACAAGAGCTGAACATCAATCAAAGGTAAGGAGACAGATGTCAGTTGTGAAGATGCAAACACAAAAGAAGAAGCTGAAGAACTCCTGACATGATCGTCAGACACAGTAAATTTGATTGTGACACTAAAACTAAACATTGGTGCAGTACCTGAGGACAGCAGCTTCCTGCAGCAGTCAGAGTGAGCGTTCAGGGCAGCCAGGTGGAGAGGGAACATGTCGTGGACTCCTCGCCTTTGGAGAAAGATGAAGAAATACAACAGTCTCTTTTACCTGACACCTTGTCACTGTGATGATATCACACAAAAGTCTCAACATGTGAACAAACAGACCTCGTGCAGTCTGCTCCGCTGGTGATGAGCGTGTTGATGAGGAGTTCGTGACCGTAGCGGGCAGCGATGTGCAGAGGGGTGTTTCCGTCCTTGTCCACACTGTCGATCTCCCCACCTGAAATTTAACATTGATTTATTTATAGGAAGAATAAAATGTGACAGGTTTAAACTTTAAGAGACAAAAGCAAGCATAAAGAGGCCTCGCCGTTCTGTATGAGGGTCTGAGAGCGAGTGAAGCGCCCGTGAACTGCCGTCATGTGAAGAGGACTCTTCCCGTCCCGACTCTGAGGAAGGTGGAGCAGAAATAAAACAACAGATTTTAGGTTTTATGTGAAATGTAGATTTAGTTTTGAGAAACACGAGCATCCATCTCAATTATGATCTCATTTCTTTGCATATTCTTTACTGAGACAGTTATTTCAACAATGCATTGTAACGCGCTAATGTTTAGCAATTTTACAAGTCAACTATTATGTCAACATGCTTACCCTTAGCATGGTAAAATGTTTAGCAATTCAACAAGCTAACGTTATCATGTCGACAGTTATTCAGTTTCTTATTGTGTTATCTTAAACCTGTATTAATTGACTTTTTAATTGTTTTTATGGTGCACATGTTGGCAAACAGTTGCCTATTTAAAATCCAGCAGACACAAACCAACACTGGCAACACTGAAGTCTTCTCTCTGACAAATCTCGACTAAAATTCCCTCTTACTTTAGCTCTGTTTTGGTCTCTTCCAGCGCCACAGTGGATTATTTAGCAGCTAAAGAGCCAGTCGTTTCCCTCAGAAGTTGGTGGAGACCAAAAACAGAGCTAAAAGACGGCAAATTTTGGACTCACATTCATCAGGTGGACACAAACACAACTTCAAATGAATGCTGATGTTTCTCTGTAACTCCCGTATGTCTTTTGGCAGACATTAAGCTGGCATACCTGTACGTTGACATCAGCCCCGTTGTTGACCAGGAACTCCAGACAGAGTGCTCCGTGTGTGGAGGCAGCAGCAAAGTGCAGCGGGGTGAAGCCCTTGTTGTTGGCCTGGCTGACGTTGGCGCCGTAATCGATGAGCTCGCTGACAACGGCATCCTGACCGTTAAAACAGGCCACGTGGAGCGCCGTGTTCCCAAAGGCGTTAGACTCATCTATCTGTTGTCAAGAGTGAAAAGAAGACCTGTTATAACGGCCAAGGAAAGGTGTGTGTGTGTGTGTGTGTGTGTGTGTGTACATGTTGAGATTTTGTATGTGTGCATAATAAGCTAGTTTAACATGGAAAATGTGTCATCGAGTGTGGGAGTTATTTTCCTCGGGTGTGAAACAGACTAAGACAGAGAATCTGTGTGTGTGTGTGTGTGTGTGTGTGTGTGTGTGTGTGTGTGTGTGCAAGGCTGTACATCTATCTTTGTGAGGACCGATAGGAGTTTTATACTCTGTGAGGACATTTAGGAAAGTGAGGATATTTTGTCTGGTCCTCACTTTGGGGCGGACGCTCAAATAGACTAACAAGTCAGTCTTTAGACGCTTTGCTTAACCTTCAGTGGCTCGCTGAACTCTTGTGCTCGTAAACATAGTCCAACTGCGTTAAAAGTTTTAAACAAAGTCGCTGTAAGTCCTTCATTTCCACAATCTTGTGGACTGAGCACACGTTTGATAAAACGAGTTAAATCTCTCGGCATCCATTTTCAAGCTCTCTGTGTGTTTGTTGACGAGAAAAGGGGGAGCGCACATTTCCGGGAGGGCGTGTCCTTTTCAAAAATGCAAGAGGCGTTGCTTTGTTGCCGGCCGTTTTCTCCGGTGTGTTAAACACACTTTAGAAAGGAGTGTCCCCAGACTATCAGAAGGCAGAGATCTCTGATTGTCTGGTGGCGAGACTAGACGCTCAAAGGACTGCTTTAAGGTTCAGACTTGGTTTTAAAGTTCAGGTTAGATTAGGCCCGTTTCCACTGAAGAAGTTCCTGGTACTATTTGGGGGGCAGGAACTTTACAGGATGTTCTCTCACTCTGCCCTCTCAACCACCGTGTCTCCACGAGAGGGCGGAGTAGGAGGAAGGTTCCTGTAAAGTTACCGGGCTCTGGATGTGATGTAATCGTTGCGCCACCATTTTTGACCAGGGCGACGTGGCAAAGAAACAAACAAAGAAGAACAACAACAAAAAAGAAGAAGCAGAGGTAAGAAGAAGAAAGCAGACATAAGAAAGATGATTATCAACATGGAAGGAGCTGAGGTGGTTGCTGGGTTTCTGGTGTGTCTCTTCATTTACATGGCGGTGGAAGCTATGAACGAGAGTTTTAAAAATGCCGGCTATTTTGTTGCTTTCTGTTGACGTCACATCCCGCCTTGAGTATATCCAATCAGCACCAAGTAAACCCCAAGCCCCACCCAGGAGTTTTTCTGGGCCGTTCTGAGTACCTACTCCGAGGCAGGGACTTGTGTAGCCCCTGTAAAAGTTCTGGAACTCTGTCCTTCGGGGGTGGTTCCTGCGGTGGAGACACGCACCAGCGGCCCCAGCCCCGTAAAATTACCCCGAAGTTCCTGCAGTGGAAACGGGCCTATGCAGGTTTAGGTCAGGGTAAAGGTCAGGGGTTAGGGGTTGCATTACGTCAGCAAGGGTCCTCACAAGTACAGAAAAACAAACGTGTGTGTGTGTGTTCTCTGACCTCCACTGCCAGGTTCAGCAGGTGTTTGACCACAGCGATCTGCCCGCTGGAGGCCGCCGTGTGGAGGGGAGTGTACCCCCGTTTGTCCTTACAGCTGATCTCCGCCCCCTGACTCACCAGCAGACACACCACATCCAGGTGACCTGCAGGGGGCGCACCAGAGCGCACACACCATAGGCAAAGAAAAGGAGAAATCAACTGTTAAAACGATAAACCCATAATTTGAAAATAAATTATGAACAGTACAGTCAACAAATATTTCAGCAGGCTGATGTTTTCGGCCAAAGTTACGACAGATACTTTATTGATAACAATTTTTACAACAGTGACGGTGTTTGGGGGTTAGGGGTTGTGTAAATACAAAAAAAACTTTGTCACACAACCTTAAACCTTCCTAACTGTGTTGACTGTGAACGCTTTCTTCTGTTGGAGTGACTTTATAAAATCATTGTGCCGTGAGCTCTAATGCAAAGCTCCTTCGGCTGTGAGGCAACCCATAATGAGCCACTGATTCATTTTTATATTGATTTACTTCCAGAAAAAAAAAGGCGTGATACATTTCAAACAAACTGCGTCTTTGTCTCTCACCCATGAAAGCTGCCCAGTGCAGCGCCCGGCCATCTTTCTTATCAAAGGCGTTGATGTTGGCTCCTTTAGCGAGGAGGAGGTTCACCATCTGACAGAGAGAGAAACAGAGGGAGGCGACGTTAGTGGGTAATAATATCAGAGATATGTATTTGTGTTTTTATGTTTATATGTGTCAGTGTGTGTGTGTGTGTGTGTGTGTGTGTGTGTGGGTGACGGTCTTTATATAACAGCATTGTAAATACATCTCATCACTGGGCTCAGCTGTTGCATAAACACTCTGGAGTGTGTGTGCGTGTGTGTGTGTGTGTGTGCTGGGCAGAAATAGAAGAAGTGGTTCATTCAGTTCGGCTGCAGAGATCCGCCGCCTCTCATTGGTAATTTTAGATTCGACATATTTGTGAATGATACCATGTGAGACAAGGAGCGTTTCAAAATGAACAACCCACTTCGTAACCCCGGCGACACAGCTGCACTCGCCCACCTGTTCAACCGAGCTGTCCAACCAAAACAGCACAAAGGATGATGACATCACAGCCTGTTGGTTGGCGAGCTACACCAGTGTGATGGAGCAGGAGAAAGGAAAAGTGATGCAGATTATTATTTCAGTTTAGTGTCTGCAGTACCTCTGTGTGGCCGTTGAGGGCGGCGTGATGCAGGGCGGTGCGTCCGCCACGGTCCGACACATTGACACTGCTCAGCAGCGGGATGATGACCTCAGCGCATCTCAGCGCGTTATTGGCTGCAGCAACATGAAGCGGCGTCTGCCAGTTCTTGTCCCGTGCGTTCACATCAGCCGAGTGGCGGATCAAAACTCGCACGGCCTCCTGAGGAAGAAAAGAGACAAAAAAACAGAGTTTGACTTCACAGATAAATAACTCACTTCCTGTAGCAGCCATTTTAAGTTCTGTTTGTATTTACGTTCACACCTCCGACCACCAGAGATGAGGGACGTATTTAAAGTCACAGTAAAGCTCAAGTTAGCTCAAGCCATCTTCAGCTTCTGTAATGTGGTGGACGTCAGAGTGAAACAGAATGTGGGCTGAGTTGAGTTATAAATTTACATGTATCAACTAACACATATCTCGAGACAAGATGCACATAGTTTATTTGTGATAATACAAGTTCTTTTCTTCAGGAGCACCTGAATGCAGCAAGACCCATTTACTTGAATATGTATCAAGATACAAGAAATAATTTGAGTCGACAAGTGGTATCACTTTTTACTGCTTTGTTTTTGTTTGTTTTTTTAATTTATTTATTTATTTTTTATGTGTGCATAAGTTTGTTTTTATTTATTTATTTATTCACTGTATTTATTTCTTCCTGCCTAATATTTTTACCAATATCAGTTTTGTCAAGGGTTGAAATATCTTTTATAAGCTTATTTTTATTTATTATACCAATAATACTATTATTTATTTTTATTTTTATATATGTTTTTTTTTTATTTATTTATCTTAATTTATTCTAATTGATTAATTTACTAATATATTTATTTATTTATTAAAGTTTATTTTGATTTATTATACCAATAATACAATCTCAAATGTTTTATTTTTTATTTGAGTACTTTTAACACATCTTTAAATAAAAGACTTGTTCCAACCTGATTCTTAAAAAGTAAATATATATTAAGAAATGGACTGAAAACTGTTGTGTCCATATTTAAAATGCGTCTTTACTAAAACACAGAAATTACAGTTATGTAAATGAATGAACAGGAAGTATTGAGTTCTGATTTCAGACACAACCTCCCTAAAATGCAGACAAACTCATGAAAGGTCCTGAATGTGTAGAACTTTGTCTTTTTCACTGAAGTTCATCCTCTGGTTATTTCAGCCATGTTGAAGGACTTGTTCACGCGCTGGGAGTGACGGAGGCTGACTGATGGTGTTGACCCAGATTTTTTAGCCCTTGCAAAGGTAAAGCTGTCCCATGTGGTGATCAGAACAGTGTTTGAGGTGAGATGAGGCGGGAGAGGCTGAGAAGTGATGAGTGTGCGTGTCAGCCTGTTTTCAGGTAAATACCAGGAGGTGCAGTCGAGCTCGCTGACACCTGTGTCACAGTCAGACTCACCACGCTGCTGGAAAGGTTGTTTCGGAAAGAAGAAAGGATTTGGACCCAGCAGGTGTGTGTGTGTGTGTGTGTGTGTGTGTGTGTGTGTGTACTCACCTCGCTCCGTGATGCCACAGCTCGATGGAGGGGGGTGAGCCACATATTATCTTTGGCATTGACTCGAGCTCCTGCAGAGACAAGAAGGAGGTGAAACGTCAAGTTTACCGACCAAACACTCGGAGACACGAGCGTCAGCATTACAGTTGGTGGGAAACACAAACCTGCAGGATTCACTTTAACATTTTAGACTCTGAAAGAACATTTTATTGTCAAACTGTGGAAAAGGATCAATTTAACTATTTAAGAATTTGTAAAAATGTAACTGCTGACTAAGGCCCTGATCACACAGAAAGTATTTTAGCAGCTGGAGGCTACTTTTTGTAATTGTCTGTAATGAGAATGTAGGTTTTACTCGCTGCTACACACCCTGCGTTTCTGCACTCTAGGCACCTGGCATTTCTGCCGGAGTACTGTGAACTCCTCGAGTTAAAAAAGCTTCAACTCAGAGTGTTAACGTGCTCCACGTCACATCATGAGTTGTTGTGATAAAATTCACGCGACTTGGATCAGCCTGTGAATTCAATTTTTCACTTTGATTTTCAGCGTGATTTTGAATCCAGCCCTGAATAAGCTGATGATTTTGGTTTCCACTGACAGTTACGTCATTTTGTTCTCAACAAATTGTATAACGTACATTAGTCAATATTTTCCACTTGAATAATTCGTTCATCAACATCTGATGTGTGATTTAAGTGTTCCTTCATTATTTTGAGCAGTGTATTAACACATTACTGAGTGGCATGTTCTGTCATTACAATGATCACTGGCACTGCAGTTCACTGTGAGTCAAACACTGTCCTGCTGCCACAAACACTCACTATTACATCTAATGTGTATCAATCCGCAGCTGAAAATAGTCCCCAACAAATGCACTGTTTCCTCCTGTTTTCAGTCAAAACTACAGCGCCCAGCTGTTTTAGAAAATTATCTCAGAATTTTAAACGTGAGACAACGTGAACTGTTTTTAAACGTTTACTTCCTCTGTAGGAACTCATGGTCCTGAGGTTAAGAGCCGCTGACAGAAAAAGGAAGTCAGACAGTGGCCAGAGAGACAGACTGACATTTGTGACGCTTTGGTGAAATATGATTTTTTTTTTTAGGTTTAGGTTACATCATGAAAAAGTAGCAACAAGGTCTTTGGATCAAAAACAGCAAAATGTTTTACCAGAGAGGATGAGGAGCTCGGTGATCTCGGCATCGCCCAGGAAGGCGGCTGCATGCAGCGGCGTGCGCTTCTCTGCATCCTATGGGAGGAAGACAGACAGTTGGTGCTTGTTGCTTTTAATGAGGGAGAGGCTGATCAGCAGCTCAGGCACTGTGGTTTCAGAGTGGGCTGGTGCACATTAGGACATCTTTATACAAGTGACAGTATGATACTCCACCAAGGGAACCTTTTGAGATGACCCAGTTTCTCCTAAATTAAAGCGGGAGTAGCGGCAGCTCCACCTGTCAGACGGGCGGGGGTGAAAAAACTAAAAAGGGCACCAGCACGCAGAAATTTGTCTGGCATGTTGGGCCACCGTAGAGCACACTTTATCATGTGTTATCTACCACAGTAGCATCCAAGAGGTAAGGCAGGGCGATATAACGACTATACATGATATGTTAATATCCTTTAAAACCTTTAAACCTCTGTAGCTCCAGTGCTGTGTGCACAAAGTTAACGTACAGTCCTGCTGTTTATTACATATCATTTTTCATTCACATGTTGTGCAGCTGTTTATTTTCAGGGGAAAAATCCTTGTCTTTGCATTTTATTTTGATCACAGTGTGTTTTTATAAAAGTGCTCATGACATCTCAAATGTGGCTTTGACTTGCAGCTGAAAACATGGAGCTCATTTCATAGAAAATACCGAGATGTATGACGTGTATCGCCGTTCTGCCTGTAAATACTGGGATATGAATTTCTCTCCCAGTCCTACCAAGAGGGGACACTTTGCTGCATGTTTTCAAATGGCCAAAAATAATCATATAAATTAATAACGCAAAATAATCTCTCTGTGTTTCAGTACCAGCTGTCAGTAACGGATCGCTTCTTGATATCTGGCACTACAGAAACAAGTCCCACAGAGGTTATCTCAGCTAAATGTCTGCAAAGCGCACAAAAAAAGTCCACTCATGTTACACACACACACACACACACACACACACACACACACACACACACGCTGCTGGCTGGAATGTTGAATATCAGTAATCCATGAGTCCACCGTGACGGCGAACAGAGCAGGCTGTGATATCAGTCCACAGATGATGAGCTGAGGATCAGTGACAGAGCCGTCAGTGTCAACACACCCATTGTTCTCTCAGTGAGCTCAAGACCAGCGCAGAGTCCCAGACCACCCCACATGTCCATGTGACCGGGCCAAGCGCAGCCTCTCGGACACAAACACAACTGAAGTGGACGATGACGTGACGTGGGAGTCCTGTAACCCTCACCAGAGACTGAGAGACCACATCCTGTGCTGCCCGGGTACACACATGTTAGAAATCTATACCCATATGATGTAAGTAAACACACGCTCTGAACTTCACTGACTCCTGACCTCTGGCCCTCCTCCCCTCACCCTCGGGTGCAGGCTCCAACAGGAAGTGGGCCGGGTTTTTATTTCCCTTGAAGCTTATTTTGGGCAGAGATGCAAAAAGGAAAAGGAATATTTATCTGTATGTAGATCTGGAGTTGCATCATGGTGACAGACAATTACGGAGAGTTTAAAGGAATATCTAAAGTCTGTGTGTATACACTTGAGTGTAGCATATGGATGAACTGTGCAGCAAACGTTTCTATTAAATCATGGCTTTAAGACTGGTATAAATACATGAAGCTATTACTGAAATCCCACAACATGATGCAGGATCTCTGCGTTGAAACATGCACATACTGTGGCAGACACATCCCTCCAATATAATAAAACTAGCATGACATGTAAACATTAATGGCGTCCTCCTCCACTGAGCTAACATCAGCTAGCTCAGTCGTGCTAGGTGAGCTAGCAGTAGATGCACACTTCCCTCTGTGCGGCGATATGGTACAAACTGAGCACCCCTCCAAAAACAAATCAGCACCCCATAAAAACTCCTCACCACTGATGCATAAAGAGAACTGCAGCTGACGATGAATGCATGAGGAGAGGCTTGTTGTTGAGATCGAGGAATGTCCCAAGCTAAACGACCCACAATCCCGTCATTATAAAGACAACAGCCAAGAAGGTACTGCCTGTTGAGTCACAGCTCTGGAGATCGGCTCTTCAGGTGAGACATCAAGTTTAATTAGCAGCTGTCCACACATGATTTGAAGCTAACGCAGAGGTGGAGGACGAACAGATCTGTCAGTAAAAGTAGTGATAACTTTGTGTGGCCGTCTGTTGATGAGCTGCAGGGCCAGTCTGCCATGTAAAAAGCAGTGTGCCACAATACACCTGGCTTTTCAAGGTAATGGGAGATGATACTGATTGGTTGACCATTAATTAGGGGACCAATTCTCTTGCCTTACCCTTACCCCTTGGTTTCAAGTGCACTCGCCAGATAGATTCCCCTCAACGACGAAGGGGTAGTGTTGAGGGGAATTTACCTACGAATTGGGATGCCATGTCATGCAAATTAGCGTAACAGACGTGTTCACCTACGTCAAGCATATTGTCGACGTAGAACTCTGTAGATATTCATGTCGGCTACATCGTGAATTAGCGATTTTCAAGCGTTCATATTCTAACTCAACGCTTACAGATAACAATGCATATGCAGAAACAACACATTCTGACATATTTTGGAGTTTTTGCATGCTTATTTGGGAAAATAGTACTTCAAACTGTGCGATGGCTTTCTCATGAAGGTTGCCATCTTCCTGGAAACTATCGCCTGTCTGGATAGTTTCCCAATGCATCCTGGGAAATTCAATCTTCCCCTCAGTTGAGATGGGTTCGTAAGTGTGCATCGCACGGCCTTTCAAATTACGTGGGGATTTTAAGGGCTGAAAGCACTTCCCTAAAGTTTGGGACACCCTAGCCCCAAAAACAAGGGCCAATTTTGAGGGGAAGTGAGTATTGGGACCCTAAATACAACTCTTACGCCCCTTGTGCTTTACTTTCAATCCCAGATTATGTACCTTGAACTAGCAAAAGTGGCGTTGGACAGGCCCTAAGCACACCTCAGATCGTGCACTACAGATGGTTTCAATAAGGACCTGTGAGTGTGTCTGTGTCTCACCAGTGCATTGATGTCTTCAGATTTGTATATGAGCATACGGATCTCTTCAGGGTCTCCGCTGAAGATCGCCTGGATGAGAGGAGGCTGAGGAGAGAAGAAGAAAGAAGAGGTCAGAAGGTCCGTCACATGACCAGAGGCAACATGTGAACACGACACGCATTAATACACGCGATCGATTTAAACAGTCAGTGAGTTTATCAGGACGGCGGCGACGTGACGAAACGACATGTTAGGGAGAATATTTCCTGCATGTTACACAAGAGGAGGCTACGCATGATCCTTCCCACGGTATATAACTGTGTGTGTGTGTGTGTGTGTGTGTGTGTGTGTGTGTAGGAGCAGCTGCTTGACTTTAAGCTGCCGTGTTTACAAAAGCTGGAGCTACTACAAGACTGCAGCCATCTATACACTGTATACAAAAATGTCCTTCAGTACCAACAGGACTTTTTTTTATACAGTAAAATTCTTCTTCTTCTATGAAGACAGGACCAACATATTTGTCCCCCACACAGAGACACTGTTGTTGGAGAAGATTCTTTGTAGATAAAATCAGAAAAATAAAATGTCTGTGCAGAGAAAAGACTTTAATGAAGGGCACTGCGTGGAGGTCGAGTCTCTGAAGCCCCTATTTTCTTTACCAGATCACAGATACGAGTTAAATAGAGGCCCTAACACACACACACACACACACACACAGCAGTATCTGTCTGTCAGCAGTATACTGTCGGCCTCAGAGGAACAAAAGCAGGCGTGGGTAAAATAAAAAGCCTGCAGAACAACATGAGGGACTCGACAACATGCAGCAGCTGTGGAATCTAACTGAGTACAAGTTCTTTACTTTAGAACAAACATGAGGTACTTTTACCTTGTTTACTTTTTATGACACTCTACTTCTGGATGATACATCTCAGAGGGAAATATTTGACTCCACTACATTTTTCTGACAGCTTTGGTTACTTTATAAATCAAGATTTTTACATACAAAAACTTTGACATACAAAAACTTTGAATTTGATACAGCTGATGTCAACGCTATAGTCCGTTCTAATATTCTGAATTTTTTATGAATAAACCATTTTCTGATTACAACATGAGTCATGTCCGTAGTATTCAGGTTTTAGGAGCATTCTTTGGGGGTCTATTCAGTGCATTCAGAATATGCATCTCAACTGGAGGACGTGTCTTCACACTGGATGCAGCGCAGCAGCAAGCACTCTGGCAGTTGTGCAGCGATAGCCAGGTGACTGCTGACGGGCGGGTGTGTGACAGTTAACAAGTCGAGTCCGTGTCCAGTGTAAACCTGGCGTTAGTAGGAACATTGTCTTTTTTATATAATGGCAAAAACCAGAATATTTTGTGCATGTGGAGTAAACGTAGTCAGTGACTTAAAGAGCCACACGTGTTCATAAAGGTCATACTGTGCGTTATTTTAAAAATCATGTGAACTTAACATTACAGCTGACAATCTTTACAGCAGCTATAATCAATAAATTATGTTAATGCAGCCTTTCTAGCTCGTCTACTCAAACCAAAGAGGAATGTAAACCATGAAGAAAAACACAGTAAAGATGTTCTTAACTAACTGAGCTCCACTGTTATGAATCACGAGACAGAACTTTCCATATGTGTTAAATAAAAACCATAAAAAACTAAGTGTTGCAGAATCATTTGATAAATATAGAAAGAAAAACATTTATACAACTTACGTTAAAATAGAAACCATACAGAAGCAATTAAAGACAAATTACAAGGAAAAAGTGACAGTGTTGTGAAGATATTAACAGCAGCAGAGTCAATAAGTCCAGTACATGTCAATGATGCAGAAATAACATGAATAATAACATTTAACATAATTTAATAAGTAATGGGAGAATTTTTCTCCTCCCCAGCCCCCCTTTCTCTTATGGTGTTCCCCAGGGGTCAACTCTGGGTCCTCTTCTGTTTTCTATTTGAATGCTTCTTCTGCATCAGATAATCTGCAGATATGATATTAATTTCCACAGTTATGCGGACGAAACTCAACTTTGTGTTCCGCTGACTCATAGTGACCCCGACAGTCTCTCTCATGTTGTGGTCTGTCTCTCAGATATTATACGTGCTGAATGACTGAAAACGTCCTCCTGCTCAATGAGTCTGACTTTTTTTTCTGTCCCATAAAGGACTTTGTAACTGTGTTTTTAGTGCTATAGTGCAATACAAATAAAGTTTATTTATTTTTAGTAAAACATAATAGTAATCACTGGTATGGTCCTTTAACACCAACTGGAACGAGTCAATTACTGGCTGCAGAAGAGACATTTTTATTTATTAATTTATCATTTTAATGTATTTTTTGTACATTATTTAAATTTTTTGTGTATTTTAATTTTATTTTTTTAAGCTATTTTCTGTATGCTTGTTTATTGATATATTTGTAAAATGTATGTTCCCTGATAATCTAATAAAGTGCATAAAAGCTAAGAAAAGCCTCAACAGCTACACTGATAATCTAAACCACTAATCGTAAATGTCGGAGCCTCTGCAGGGACCATCATGCAGGCTGCAGGTTCGATGTGCCACTGATGACTCAGATCTAACAGAGATAGGCCTCACTTCACTTCCTGTGTGCGTTCTGCCGCCTCCTGCCTCACTTCCTGTTGCTCAGTCTCTCCTTCTCAGAAACTAAAGAGAGGAACCACAGAGCAGCGTTTCACTTCTGCTTTAAATACCAGAGAACACATGCACGAACTAAATGATACCACTTCCTCATATGAACTTTTTATCCTTCTCTTGAATCTGATTGTGGTGTAATGCCGCTTCATCACATTGTCTCCCAGGTGACCACGGCAGCAGGCAGGTGATCGACACTTCCAGATCATTCTGTGTCAAATCATTTTAAATGTTATTCAAACTTTATGTTATTTGACAGAAAAAAAAATTCTGCAAAATATTTTTACTGAACTCTGAGAACTGCATAGTTTTTTGCTCCTGGGAATTTTCAGTCATTTCACCCCCTAAAAATAAGTCTTAGACAGGAAGTCATTTTCAGGGTTCAATATCTTCAAAAACATAACTCTTACAGTCATGAAATCTGGCAGAGGCTCAGACAAATCTGTGTGTAACAGATCCAAATGAATGAAAGGCAAACAGATGTCACACACGTCACATTTTTCATCACTGGCCCGTGAAAATAAAAAAAGGTGCAAAGTAGGTTGTTTTGGGACCCTGGGTAGAATATACAGTAGAGGTCATGTGGACAGATCTGTATTTCCTACAAAAAAAAAAAAAAACAGCATTTGATTGACATGTCAAATTTCAGAGGCTCTAACATCATCAGAATCTGAAACATGACAGGTACGACGAGCCAAGGCTGCGACATGTTGCCTTTCTGAAACGCCAAAATGTCGATGTGGACTCACTCCTGAGAAAATTTGTGAGACCATATTGCTCAGAGTTTTGTGTGTAAAGTTAAATATGTCTTCCATGTTCGCTTGGAATATTTAACAGAATCTATTTGTGGTGTCATATAGCATATTAACTTTATCAATCCTCCAGGGGAATTTAATTATCACTCTGTTGTCATACACACACAGGCCTGAATTACACACACATGCACAAACAGGACCGACACATGCGTTTAATAAGAGATGTCAGAGTGAGGGGGCTGCCCATGGACAGGCACCCCAAGCAGCTGGGGGTTCAGTGCCTTGCTCAAAGGCACCTTGAGGGATTAATACCATATATCTTCTATCCTCTAAATGAGACAAATAACCTGTAAAAAAATAACGTTCTTTCTCCTCGTAATCCACCACATGTGAATGAAAACAACCAATCAGAGTCGAGGAGCCTCTGAAGCAGCTATCGATGTCAATCACTCTGTGAACTGCGATTAAACTGCAAAACTAGGCAGAACTGATCAAATATAAATCAACTGTTTAGCTGTGACATGGTGTTTTATTTGACCGACAGTCCAAAACATCCAAAGCTGTTCAGTTTATCGTCATGTGACAAAGCAAAGCATCAAATTCTCATATTTAAGACGCAGTAAACAAACAAATGTCTGACTACTGAGTATCAAAAAATGACTAAAATGATTATTCAATTATCAAAATTGTTGCCAGTTAATTTTCTGTCAATGCACCAACTGATTAACCCTTTGAAACCCAAGTACGTTGGCTTGGTTGATTCAGAAACATGGAAAGAAGAAAGCAAGAAATTAGTAAAACGAGAAAATTAGTAAAAACAAAAAAAACAAGTGATTGACCTGGAAAAAGAGCTTAAAAATTATAGTAACATAATTTTAAAAAAATGTAATAATGATAATTATTGGTAATAATTACAGTATTTTTTCCTTTGCTTTTTAAAAATAATTTTCTAGATCTATTATCTTTTTGCAATTAGTGGAACATTTCTTACCAAGTAGCTTGTTGCCTTTTTTCCCCATGTTTTTGAAAGTTATTCAAGTATTCAAATGTTTGAATATTTGCGAAAGGCATCTGAAGGCAGCACAAGAGAAGTGATGTCGCTCCAAGTTTCAAAGGGTTAAACGACCAACTGTTTTATTCCTTGTAAATGTAATTTTGTTTTCCTTTTTATTTCATCCTCCAGTGCTACTTTTACACACCTCAGTCTTGTTGCCTCTTTCATTCTCTTCTCCTTTAATATCTGCTAAAACATTTTTTGTGTGTGTGAAACATTGAGAGGGCTGCAACGACACGTCACTGTGCAATCCTGTCATGATCATAAAATCTGACTCTGAAAAAGTAAAAGACAAAACTACAAACATGACATTGACTTTAGGAGTCAACACCTGACCTTCCCCTGGAGGTCAAACTGGTTGAACAGGAGGAAGCACTCTTTGTACTCTGTGAAACTTCCACTCATTCTCTCGCTGAGTTATAATCTGAAGCCACCTAACGAAGAGAGGAGTAATGACCCAGAATGAAGCCACTTCCTCGCCGTTTTCTCTCCTGGTGACGAGCCAAGTTTTTATTTCAGTTCAAAGCAGTTAGTGATTCAGGTTTAATCAGTGTTTACTTGAGCAGAGTGATAAGAGAGGAGGGAGGAAGGACACATTTAGGGTAGGAGAGAAGTGAACAAGGCCC